TATTGTATAAATTTCAAGATTGTTATAGTTTAATCAAAGTAGATTGTAATAATATGATTCATTTGACATCCATGATCATAATCATACTGATGAAGGATATCTGTTATCCGAAATATTTATAAATAATTACATTTATAGTTTTCTTTTTTTTGTTATTGGTGTTGTTTTGTACACTTTTCAGGCGTTTATATATATATACAACTCGTCTAAACATCAGCCCAACAATGTTAGATGCTAGGCTTCACAATAATAAAGCTTTCGGTGGCCGGGTGTTACCTTTCCTCGTCAGTTTTAATCTAGCGTCGTAATACAGTACATGATATATAAGGCATGAAGATGGAATTGTTACAGATCAGCTGAAATATCTATTGTAAAGGATTCTACAAATTGATGCAAGATACAGTCACAGAAATAATTATATTTATAAGTACGTCTGAACCAGTGACAACTCTACAACAGATTTCTCCATCGGATCACCAGCAGTGATGGTGATACATGGCTGTGTACATTCTGTATATACAACTCGTCTAAACATCAGCCCAACAATGTTAGATCTGTAAATTTGCTTTCGCAAATTTTTTGTTCTTCCCTCGCCGGGATTCGAACTCATGCTACTGAGATATCGTGACACCAAATCGCCTGCACTGTATCCAACGCGCTAGACCACACGACCACCTAGGCTTCACAATAATAAAGCTTTCGGTGGCCGGGTGTTACCTTTCCTCGTCAGTTTTAATCTAGCGTCGTAATACAGTACATGATATATAAGGCATGAAGATGGAATTGTTACAGATCAGCTGAAATATCTATTGTAAAGGATCCTACAAATTAATGCAAGATACAGTCACAGAAATAATTATATTTATAAGTACGTCTGAACCAGTGACAACTCTACAACAGATTTCTCCATCGGATCACCAGCAGTGATGGTGATACATGGCTGTGTACATTCTGTATATACAACTCCTCTAATTATAATTAGTTCTTCCCTCGCCGGGAATCGAACTCATGCTTTAAATTGCTTTTTGGATATCGTGACAAAACCGTCTGCATTGTGTCCAGCTCTCTAGACCACTTGGCCACCTAGACTGAACTAAAAATTCAGCTTTCGGCGTCCTAGTGTTACCTTTCCTCGTCCTAGTGTTACCTTTCCTCGTCAGTAGAATCTAGAGTTGTAACACAGTACATGATATATTAGGCATGAAGATGGAATTGATTGCAGATTAGCTAAATTATATATATATATATATATATATATATATAGATAATAGCTAATGTATCTGCCTTATTTAATATGGCTGTAAATTACACAAAGGCGGTGTGGCTGGCAGTTGCTTCCTCCTACTTTCTAAAAAGAAACTCATCCCTTTTCAGACCGTACTAATGTGCACCCCTTGCCAGAACACTGATTTGTGTACAACTTTTGTAAAGTAAGTATAAAGCCACTGGGAGCCAGTCAAATAATGAAATAGACATAATTTCAGTGCTGAAAATTTGGACTTGGCGTCATTAATGTTAATGTCGTTAGGTTCTTGTTTTTTGGTTTTATGCTTCAAGTCAAACGATACTTCCAGTCAAACGTAGAGCAAAAGGTAAACACTTTTAAACAATTTATAAATCGCCCCGTATAACCCCGATACAGACGAATCCGGACGTTGACGCGTTCGAATCGAACACACTGTGTACCACTGAGTTCAGAGAGTGAAGAATTAATACTTTTAAAGAAAATCCAATATCTGTTATTCGGATATTTTGCTTCAATATATTCTTTGCCATAATACTCATTACCTACTAAAAGGGTTTTCAAACATGTGACATTTTTATACACAAACATTAAAAAACTCACGACGATATCAATGATAAAACGTGCCTGGTACTTTTAAATATTCAAAACTTAAAGTTTATCGTGCCTCATAGTTTTTAAAACATACATTTTTTTAAATTTCATAATTTAAAATTAACAAACTTTAAAAAATCGTAGGTTTATGTGGTATCTAGAAACAAAAAAATACACGTTTTAAAGTGGCTTTATTTTCATGTTGTGTACGCTTCGTTATCATTACACAAAATTCCCTTATCTATACGAAAGTGTAAATTGGCAGGAAAATACAATAACTCGACAGATGCAAATATCACTGGCTGAGCATTCGGATACACACGTCCGATTTCTAATTCGATAGCATTTTTAAAGTGTTTACCATACGACATTTAATGTACGGTTACACCACTGTCCTAGGTTAGGCGGCGGGATGGGTACCTGCCTGTTAATCCCGCCATATTCTGTATGTGCCTGTCCGAAGCCATGAGCGTGTAATTCAGTGGTTATATATTTGTTTTTCGTTCACTATTTTGTGCATAAATTAGGCCGTTAGTTTTCTTGTTTGAATACTTTACATTTGTCATTTCGGGGCCTTTTATACATGAAGCTGACTAAGCGGTATGGGCTTTGCTCATTGTTGAAGGCCATAGGTGACCTAAAGTATTTCATTTCTGTGTCGTTTCATCTCTTGTGAAATGTTGTCTCATTGGCAATTACACCACATCTTATTTTTGATATAGACAGCAATCAAAAACAATCAATGGATTATAGGCTTTTGGCCTGAATCTCAGAGGCGGATCCAAGGGGGTCATGGAATACAATAGAGTTACATTAAGGCTAAAAAATATGTGTATACAATGAACATGTAACTTATAGCCATCGTTGATAAGTAGTACAGTTTCTTTAATGTGGAGGTGTAAAGATGAAGAGATAATTCTTCATATCAACTGATTTGCTTTCTTCAATTATGTTTTCTTTTATTTTTAAGGTATAAAGATTATGCTTAATTTCCTCGACCATTACAGTCTTTCTATTGTGATGTCAAAAACATCGCTAAACATTATTACAATATATAGATATAAGAAGATGTGGTATGAGTGCCAATGAGACAACTCTCCATCCAAGTCAAAATTTATAAAAGTAAACCATTATAGGTCAAAGTACGGTCTTCAACATGGAGCCTTGGCTCACACCGAACAGCAAGCTATAAAGGGCCCCAAAAACTACTAGTGTAAAACCATTCAAATGGGAAAACCAACGGTCTAATCTACATAAAAAACGAGAAACACTTATGATTCACATCAACAAACGACAACTATTGAACATCAGATTCTTGACTTATGACAGGTGCAAACAATTACACACTTATATCAGAACTCATAAGATCCTCTCGATACTGTTTACTTATATTTGGCATTGCACAAGTTCATGCGTTTTATTACGTCTTTACCTAAATCCGTTGGATATATACTGACTGATAACTTTAGTCTTGAATAACATGATTTACCTTTTAGTCGTAATTTGCTTGGAAATAACTATCAGTTACTACAATTACTCTTTTTCGATATTTTATGTATATTGTTTTTGTGCCCTGTACCGACATTTTGAGTTGAGCCAATTGCAACTGTACAGATTTTTTTTATCATGCTGTGCTATTACACCAGTGTCCCAGGTTAGGGAGAGGGTTGAGGGCTCACATGTTTAATCCCGACGAATTCTTTATGTGTCTGTCAAACGTCAGGAGCCTGTAGTACATTGGTTATATAGATCTGTTGTATTTTTTTTTTCGTTAATAAATAATTAATTAGTTATAAATAAAGCAGTTAGTTTTCTCGTTTTAAATTTTTCACATTTTTTTTATATCGGGGCTTTTTATAGCCGACTATACGGTATAGGTTTTCCTCATTGTTGAATGTCGTATGTTGGACTACAATAATTGCTTTATAAACCCACTAAATTTAAACTTTTGTGGAAGGTTGTCTCATTGGCCATCACACCACATCTACAAAAATGTATATGTAAAAAAAAAAACAACAACAACAAAAAACAGTTGGAATGCCATCTAAGGCATTCGGCAAACAAAGTTCAACAAGCTGCTATGGCTATGAAGCCTTTTTGAACTCGTGTTCGCTGCGCTCACTCGACAAAAAGCTTCCTATTGTGACTCGCAGCTGATATTTTACGATATCAGTGTGCAGACAACCTGATAATCGGTACAAATGTCATGGAGCTCTAAACTTGCCTGCACGAAGTCTGGAGTATAACAGTTGTTTTCCATTCGTTTGATGTGTTTGAACTTTTGATTTTGCCATTTGATAAGGGACTTTCCGTTTTGAATTTTCCTTGGAGTTCGGAATTTTTGTTATTTTACTTTTTTCATAAATGTCGTAATAAAGACATGTGCAATAAGGATAAATGAAATTAACATATTTTTGTAAGGGCTTGAATAATTTTACTATTTTTGCAATTTCGGGGGCCAATAATGGTTTTTATCATATCTCCTCATTTTTATTTACAGGCATGTATGATCGATTGTGTTAAACTTGTCTTCATTTCTTTCTGATACAATACTTCAAAGCATAGTGAAGGAAAATAAATTGACTGAGACCAAGTTCTAATATTTAAAAACATGACTATAAAAAATATTTTTATTAAAAAATAGACGTGACAATTAAAATGCATTGAACACTTATAACAAATTTAATTTGGTTTTTTATCAACTGGAATCTGCAAGTACTACATGAAATTTGTCAAAGACAATTCATTTCAATTATTGATGAAAACTATGAATTCCTCGTCTTTTTCTTACTCTATGCATGACTTATTTGTATACAATCTACATTTACTTATAAATATATAATTTTTTTTTTGCAATACCCACGTCATCTTTGCACTAAGCATGCACATAAATTATATAGTGATAAACCTTTGGTGTAGCTACTATGACTTTTCAAAACATAAACAAAATGAGGCTTTCCAGGATTTAATCTAGCCACAAGTAAAAATGGAAGCGTCAGTAATACAGTATCACAATCAGGCTTCTTTTCTATGGTTTTATCTCATCTTTTTTTTTTTTTTATTTTATTAAAGGCAACAAATAATGATAAATGTCAAAAATATTATGCTTATTTAGTCAAAATAGAAATTAAAATTGAAAAAAAAATTAATATCAATACAAAAGTCATGTAAATATTTTCTGGATTTCAGTGTATAAAATTTTGTTTTATATAAATTTCATATCTAGTGACCACATGTAAAACCACTGGTCAATATTCCTATAAAAATTAAAAATAGAGATAAATTTGTGCTGATTGCATTGTTTGTGTCGTCATGTGAGTGTTTACAGATAACGTCAATAGGTGGAACTGCTTGTGGAGATGGAGTTGAAGGATTCTGAGTAGGAAAACTTGAATACACGTTTCTTCCATTCAGCTGTTGAAGGGGCCTAAAATCATCAACCAGGTCTTCTTCGTGAGTATCGTTTACCTTTGTCTTCTTGATTTTATTTCTAAAATCATTCATCTAAAATTAGAACAAAAAGATAGAATGAAATTATACTTAAATTCTAATACAATTTTTTTGTATATGTAAAATGTATTTACATTGGCTACTGTTCGTCCGCCAAGTTAATTATGGAAGCAGTACTAGTTCTGACATTTCCCGTCGTCATAAAAGGTCTAAACACACCTACTTCATTCTATATTTTTTCATAAAACACTTAAAAACGGATCATCCAAAAAATGTGAACACTTAATCTTGATTCTGCTATTTCAAAATACAGCTTGAAAAACAGGCTTATTGGCAGTAATTTTCTTCATATTCAGTTTATATATCTCTGCTCTTCTTAAATTGGAAATCACAAATAATTTGATTTAATTATTATTGTATGATTTCGGTGAATTTGTTCAAATCTTTTTTGATAATATAATTTGTTAATCAATTGAATATGTAGTTCCAGGAATGTGACCCAATTCCTCAAAAGCTAGCTTACTTCATGTGCAAGAGGTCGTTGGTTCGACCCTTGGCCAGGTCAAACAAAGACATGTACATTGGTATTCACTGCTTTTACGCTAACCATGCGGCACTTAGGTGTAAAAGCAAAGACAGGTCAGAGAAAGAATAGGCCTTCCTGTCGACTTTTACCATGTGAATTAACACATTGAGTATCTGGTTCAGCATGTCGGTCTAGTACAAAGTAATAATTACCGTCGTATCACATTATTTTGTTCCTGTCCTGAATATGCGTGTAATATTTAACACTGGACGTAAAACAAATGAATTGATTACAATCACTAATGTTTGTTGTTTTTATTTTATTTTTCTTAGCCATTTCGATTCATATAACTTAAGTTAAAGCGTGTTTTAAAAGACATTTTACTATTATATAATAATACAATTCAGTGATAAATGTAGTACCTGATCATTAGAAATTGTTATTGGTTGCGTAAAAACAGTCCAAACAACACTCTCGTAACATGGAGGCGTAGTGAGACTTCCTCTGTATCGATAATAATGCATTAAGTCTATTGGTACCAGTCGCTCCATCACTACTGGTGGGATTGCTGCAGTGTCATCTACAAAATATAGCAAAAAGAATCACAATTCAATGTTATATTTACATGAAAATATAAGTCGCAGTAAATTGAGTTATATAATTATGTATTTTCGAAATTTACTACAAATAGAACCTGAGAAAAAGTAATAGTAGTTTGACATGTACGGGTTGTACTATGAAACAAATGTATCAACATTGTTTAAATAATATTCAAAAGGCATACCAAGTTGAACTTGGTCACTTTATATATTGCTGCGATAAAAGATAAAATCGTGTTTTACTATACATGATGTAGGTATATTTAAAATATATATATAGTATTTATAACATGTATTGGTAAAACAGTCCTTTGACTGGGCCATTCGAATGCGTTTTTAAATACACAAATAAATTGACCTTTGAAGTCTCAAAGTCAAGTTACTCAGCGTTTTAAGTTCTGTCGTTCTTCTTGGGTCAGTTTTCGGAGCTTTGGGCAAAACCGATGTGAATATTAATGCGGACTATCATGACAATTAAAATGTCATATAAAGGACGGTTAAGAAATGTTGTATATATACAGGACTTTTTGGGATTAGACATGCTTGCATAGTCAAATTAATTAGCGTTTAAACATCCTGTATCTATAGTTCATCAAGCGTTTAAAAAATAAAAGCATATAAAAGGCATATCTTTCGCTTCATTAAGCTATTGAATATCCACAGTGCCCAAAGTTATCACGCTTTTGCGCGAAGGCACATTTAGATTTCATCTATACTACATGAACATTAGATTATATGTTTTTTTGCCTCTAGCATCACACGCAATGTTCAGAAGTGTTTTAAGTTCATTATAGTACGTCTCAAACAGTGTGCCAGTGTGTCATACAAAGGAACAAGACTTATTGCTAATCACTTGAAATCTTACAAATTAATAAATTCAACTAAGTACTTATATCTCTTTCAAATGGAAAGGTAATTAAAATTTTTAAAACTTTAACCACAGAGTGAATGTAATGTCAACTGGCAGAAATACTAAGTCCATTTATAAGTAAAATAAAGATAAACAAGATTTTTTTTTACAAAATTTACTTCTGGATACTATCTTATTATCATAAACAAGCTTCTGTCCAAGTTTGGTAGAAACACAGGATAGTTTAAGAAAGTTATTAAAATTTTAAAAACTTTAACCACAGAGTGAATTTAATGTTAACTGGCAGAAAAACTAAGTCCATTTATAAGTAAAATAAAGATAAACAGGATTTTTGTTTAACAAAATTTACTTCTGGATACTATCTTATGATAATAAAGTAGCTTCTGTCCAAGTTTGGTAGAAATACAGGATAGTTTAAGAAAGTTATTAAATTTTCAAAAACTTTAACCACAGTGAATATTTGTGGATGACGACGACGCCGACGCCCACGACGGAATGTAGGATCGCTATGTCTCGCTTTTGCGACAAAAGTCGCAGGCTCAACAATTATAAATTTCTAAAATTTGACTTAGGCTGGTGTAATTAACATCGATCTGAAATGAGTTTTCTAATTACCTTTGTGTGCAACGTTTTCCAGATAGTTAAATACTTCTGCAAAGTGTATGTTATGTGGCCCAATCTGAAATTATAGAAAGAGTATATGTCAAGTAAGAAATAACACAAATCATTCAGGCACAAAGCCCTCAATGCCATGAAACAAAGAGGGTGAATTCAAACTTAAACTACATTGCCGCCATTTGATTTATTACGCATATATCCATATTAAGATTTTTCGGGGTGTGTATTGGCATGTCATGGATTTTACAATTGTAAACACAGTAAGTATAATTTACTAGGAAAGTTGATTATATAAAGGTGAATTAACACCAGCATAGGCGGATCCAAAAGGGGGGGGGGGGGGGTTGCGGGCCCCACCTTTTGTGGGAAAAATTTGGTTGATTATAGAGGGAATCACTGAAGCATGACTGGAGCAGGCCCCCTCTTAGGGCTGTCAGTTCCCCCCCCCCCCCCCCCCCTTATGTAGGCGCTCTCGACCGTGCTCTATTTGCAGTTTGTTCGATTCCTTCAAGTTGTTTTCCTTAGTTGGTGAGTACTTATTATTTACGAATTTTAAACACCGATGCAGACAAAATAAAACACTCTCAATATTATAGTATACCATTCACTAACCAATAAGAAATACCAATCATAATCTTTCAATATACAATCTGGTATTTACATTATATATGATAGCATGGTTTATACTCGTAAGTTTGTATATTCATTTCATTTTGTATATGTTAATATTTACCTCAAAGAAAAATCCCAAGACCAAAAGACCATCTGGTTTATCAATAGCATCTTCGATCTTCTGGAACCTATCAGAATAATGGACTATATGCATCTGAAATATTGTTAATTTCAGAAGAGTTATATTTTATTATAAGTACAGTTATTATGGCAGCTACTATACATAAATTAATATCATTGTATAATGTAAATTTCAAAGTGTATATAGTAGGAAATGTAAATTAACACGCAAAATGTGTTGCACTTAAGCGTTTTCCTGGATAAATATTCACCAAAAGAGGGTCGTAAAGGGGGGGGGGGGGGGGGGGTTTCTGCATGGAAGAACGCGGAATAAAATTGCCATTTCACGATGAACGAACAATTAAAAATGTCTTGCTCTTTTTACCGATTTCACGAAACACGGTGAATGACGAACCTTTTTCACGGCTGCACGTGAAATAAAAATGACAAAACACGTTGCACGAAAATAACCCTTTACCACTCTCTTAAAAGTTCAAAGTATGATCAAATATAAAGAGACTGCCCGGCTGAAATCAGTAGTACAAACCAAAGCTATAAAAATCATGATAAAATGTCAAACATTTATTTTCCTGAAAAAAAGAACCTGAGAATTCTGTAAGATTCGTCAAACAGGAAGCTATTGGAATGCATATCTAGAAAATCAACATTATATAATACAGACGAAAGATACCAAAGGGATATTCAAACTCATAAGTCGAAAACAAACTGACAATGCCATGGCAAAAAACGTAAAAATGACAAAAAGAGAAACTAAAGACTAAACAACACGAACCTCGCCTAACCACGGGGTATCACAAGTGATAACGCAGGATAACTGAAGGAGCTTAACTGAAGTATTGCATTTGTTTCTCGCATAGTGTTGTAGTTTTGCCTATAGTGTTTTAATTTGGTTTCTTATTTTCCAAATAGTATATAAAAGTATAATATGGAGTACCAACCTCCATCGGATAATGGTGGTTGTCAATAACATGTTCAGAGCCTTTGGAATTGTCTGCTCCCCAATGGAAATGAAACTGTACAGGCTTGTATCCACCAGTCACTCCACCTCCGTGTGTTCTCAATGACGTATCCACAATGTCCACTTGAACTGAAAAAACAGACACTTATTATGTAAAATTGTACAAAGAGGTTCAACATGAAAATACGGACAACTATCCCCCAAAGTTCAAATAAAGTGGTAAGCAATCATAGGCAACCGTACGGCCTTTAACAATGAGAAAAATTAACCCATACTGTAAAATCGGCGATAAAAGGCCCCCACATGAAAAATATGAAACAATTCAATTGAGAAAACTAACGGCCTAATTTATAGATATAAAAAAAAATTACGAAAAACAAATATGACAGACATGAACCAACGACGTCCGCATATATATTCCAGAACTGTATGAATATTTTCTTTTTTTGGTTCTTTTGGGTGTGGGATAAAAAAATTTAACAAGTCTCTTGAAATCGATAATAGTTGATTTTATGTAAAATTGAAAGATATATCATAAACTTTCTTGAAACTATACAACGAATAGTAGTAATCCATTAGCAAAAAGAACGTTGTTAAAGCTGTTTCTCCAATTGAAGTAGCATTTGCATCAAAATTTTCCCTCAGTATTCATTAATAGTAAATATATTTTTTACGTACAAGACTTTTGTTTTTAACTAATGCGCATTAATTCGATATATTTTTTTAATCTTAAAAGAGCGCTTAGCCAGAACTCCAAACCTACCCCAGTATGATTATGAGAAAGAATGACAGCTCGAGGAATTATCATTTTTATTTAGTTGAGTGTTGATACAGTGTTGTGTATCTTAATTATATGCTTAATTAAACCCACGTTACATGACGTTATGTACATTTTGAGGTAATAGTAAAGCCTGTGCTATTGTGACTATACGTAAGGATTGCCAATGATTATATTTCACGTACAATCAATTTACATGCATTTATTTTACTCTAATTAAAGTATTTAATAACACAATAATATTTCTACATCGGTATATCAAAGTCGTATATTTAAATATATTTCTTACCAGTGTGTCCATTGTTTTTCATCGTCATATTTGCATGCACTCGTTCAGAAAATCCCTTAAATCCAAACTGCAGCAGGCTGACGTCATATGTTGCTTTTTTCGATTCAATGGCAACAGGTGATTGCATCACTCCAGAACAGTCGGGATACTCTTCGTGCCAGTGGGAGGGACCTGATTGGTGAAATATTACCATAGACTTAGTAAACATTCGTAAATTATACTCATAAATTATGTTTGGTAGAAGGAGATTTTACGAACTAAAAGTGTAAAGTTTAATTTGTTCTTTACCCATCTAAATTCCACATGTATCTTATTTTACACAAGATTCTCATTAATCAATGCCGTCTAGTTTGGAAAATGTTAAATAATAACCATAGGTACTATCAACGTAAAAAAAGGAATCATAAAAGTTCTATGTGTGTATATTGTACAAATGTAATTCAAGTTGAAATTAAAGTAGGATATTCTCAAATTGATAATAGTAAATAATAATCATATCTGTGGACTCACCATGGATTCCGGAATATTCCCACACAGAACCTACAATGAAAAAGTATCAATAAAAGACTAAGAAGTCTCTCTGTTATTTCATTTTAGAATCATTTTGAAGGTTCAGTGCACGGTGAATATTTAGACAAATGAGGAATTCCGTAAGGACCCAATTTTGCCCCAAAACAGATTGAAACGTATTTGTTTAAATAAAATATTTACATTACACCATGGCTAAACAACCCTCGCGAAAACTAATCATGAGATCTGTAGTTGGACTGAATGTTGTATGGCCAATTTGTGTCATCATTCATGCACCAGGCTTCTTTTGAAGCTTTTTTCTTAAATTATTATATTATCAACGTTTTTCTTTTATTTTGCCAAATTGTTTAGTAGAATGCAAGCTTATTATCATCTCATTAATTTAGGATTTAACGTCTCCTGCTTTGACCGTAAGTGCATATTTAAATATGCCGCACAACAAAACGGTGGCCCGTTTTAAACTTAAAAATAAAAAGATGTGATATGATTGCTAATGAGACAACTCTCCACAAGAGACCAAATGACACAGAGATTAACAACTATAGGTCACCGTACGGCCTTCAACAATGAGTAAAACCCATACCGAATAGTCAGCATGGGTTAAACTGTTGGATGGGAGAAGTCTAGGAATGACTATAAGTCTATACCCGGACAATCTTAAAAGCAAGGCATGTATTTCAATCAGACTGTATTGCAATGTACTTAAAGAAAACGAAACATGCAAAAAAAAGGTCATTATATGCATGATATGTCCGAAAGTTACCATCAACAGAAACGTATCTATTAATATTTTTCAACACCAAAGTTGGTAGATAGTCTTCACCATGTCAATTGACGTATTCCCAAAATCTCAATAAAACTCTCCGATACTAATTGATCAAATTGAAAGAGTTCTGTTGAGTAGATTAATTCCATACCTGTACATGTAGCACCAACATATACAACTGTGAAATCCAAGTTTAAGATAAATCCAAGAGAATACAATTTAAGCCAATTCACAGTCGTGTGCATAGTGACACAGTGTACATGACAACTAGTTAAATTTCTCAATTTAATTTATGGGGACTGTCGTACCATGATGGCAACTTATGGTTTAGTATACATGTCCTTAAAAACTTTAAGATATATACAGTGAAAAATGTGTTCTGATATGAAAATGTTTAATGCTTAATTTATGCATTTTCCAATTTAAATAGCAGAATGTGTATGCACATATCATGTTCATATCCGGACACCGTCATAAATTATAGTAATGTTAGTCGTAATGTCAAGTTATTTTAAATTAAGTTAAGGAAAATGTTGTACCGTATTTCTTAATGTAAATTACACAGGCACTTGTCTCAGAAAAAAATTCTATATATACCTTAATATAACAAGTATATATATAGGAAATTTTTTTTCTGAGACAAGTGCCTGTGGTAAATAACTACTAAATATTAACCAAAGTAATGAAGCAGCTATACAAACTAAAACCATAGATGTATAAACTATACATCTATGCTAAAACCAAGGAGGTATATCTCATATATAACCTCCTTGCTAAAAGATATAAAATAAATGATAGTTCATTTCTATTAGGATTATTAAATATGTAAATTATGTTAAATATATAAACATAGATGTAATACCCATAGATTAACTTCGCCTGTATCTTCAAAGGTTCTATGTGCGTTGTAATTACTATCACACATATCTGATAATTTAGCCTACATGTAATGAGATCACCCGCTGAGCATTCTTCAGTAAGTTTTTCAATCGGAAAGCTTCTTCGCTTTTCTTAACCCGAATAATTCAGTCCCTCCCCGTAATCGATCTCTCTTACTTGCGAGAATGTAGTAATCAGTGGAATATAACGACTAAACAAGTTTGAGCTTTCTAAAAAGCTGTGGACTGCTTCGCTCTATCCTAATTTAAGGTAATATGTGTGCATGTGGTTGTTGAATTAGTATTCTGTAAATGTGCCTCTCTGGAGGTGTGCCTAGAATTGCAGAAGTTATAAAATACAGATAATGCATTTTTGTTAACATTGTATAGAAACATATGTATATTGCAGTTAAACAAAGCAAATAAACACGTATTAATAATTGATATTTCAATACTGAATTTCAATGTGCAATATATGCATAATAAAACGAACATGAATTAATGACAGTTGATCGGATCTGAAATACACATAGTTAATTTTTCGGCATTTGATGTCTTATCCTGAGTCGAGAAAAGTCTGTAATTCTTTATATCATTTAAGCCAATAGCTGTTGCTGTATCTCATCCGCATCATAAAGCAACCAATCAGAATCTATATATGATTAGTAATTATTTCAAGATGATGTGTATATCGACTGAAACTAATAGCTCACGCGGCACCGTCATGTGAAGCAATTATTCGAGTTACGCTTGTCTTAGCGTGGGTATTACATCTATGATATAACGATCTCTTCTGTAAATTGCATGTTCTTATTTTAAAGGAAAGAGAAATATAAATCATTTTAAAAGAAAAAGTTACACGCCGTTATGCAATGTTTTAGCTGGGACTTTAAACTAAGTACGCAATGTTTTAGCTGGGACTATTAAAATTGTGCAATGTTTTAGCTGGGACTATTAAAATTGTGCAATGTTTTAGCTGGGACTATTAAAGTATATTTGAAAAATAAATGGGTAATGTGTCCATGGGTCACAGATGATGCCCCCGCTTGCATATCATATAAAGTTATAAAGGGCATAACTAAAGAACGGTAAAAGTGACGATACCCAAATTCGTACTTGATCTGAGTTTTGTAGTAATAAGTATTGTGTATTAGTTTCATATCATTTGGTTGAGGCAAACTTAAGTTAGAGAATGGAAACTAAAAATTCAGCAATTTTTCCATTTGTAAAGGGACATAACTCTAGAACGGTTAAAGTGACACCACCAAAATTCAAACTTGATCTGTATTTTGTGGTAATAAGCATTGTGTACAAGTTTCATAACATTTGGTGGAGGCAAACTAAAGTTAGAGAACGGAAACAAACTTTGGGACGTACGGACGGACGTACAAGGGTAAAACTTAATGCCCCCTTCGCTACGGCGGGGCATGAAAAATAAATGATCGATTCTAATTTTCTTCGAAAAATAATCAGAAGGGAAATGAATAAAAATAAAGTTTGTTTCAATTGAAAATAAATTGGAAAAATTCGTGTGTGTTATCTTGGAAATGGAGAGGGGTAGATATAAAAGAATTCAAAGAGAAAATAGAGTATGTAAACATTGTAATATTAATGAGGTTGAAGATGAAAACCACTTTTTCTTAAAATTAATAAATCTTTACGTAATCATCTTGAAAAAGACATAAATAATATTTGTCCCGAATTCTTGAAATTGTCTGAAACAGACAGATTACAATCACTTCTACCTTCATTTGATATTATGCAGCTTACTGTTCCGTTCATTAAAAAGTCATTTGCACTGAGGGGAGTGGACACAACACCTGCATAAATAATATGTTGTGATTTTTGCATTGTGTATATATTTGTATTGTATTGTTTATATGCCTTCAATCCCTCGGGGTATAAATGTGCACTTCATTAATAAATTAAAGAAACGAAATTTTGTTAAATGTTTAAACCCTTTTGTTTTTTTTTCTCAGTTCAAATTTATAGTACTTTGATCATGATTGAAAATAGGTTAATGATAAATATAAAGTAATATCCAATTCATTAATTCATCAATTCAACATAAAAACTATCATTGAATTATGTTAGAATGTATATGCAATCAGTTAGCAGGTTATAAATTTTCAATTGCATTGCAAAAATATTTCAAAAAGACCAAATGCTAAATGCTTACCGGTACCACAGAAAGCCACTATTGGCAATAAGATAAGCAGACTTGTGAAAACAAACATCCTCGTGCAGTAGACTTATAAAGCTTAAGAACTCAAAAGTGGAGTGTGAGATGTTTTTATACTGTCCTTGAAAGTTAAGACATACGGTGGTTACGGATGCAAAACTTAGCCAGAGGACGTTATTGTAATTTAATCAGATGTTACTTCGCATTAAGTAGTTACGGCATAAATTTATCAGATCGTTTAAAAGGACATTCTGTTTCCATTAATTTTCAATGATAGTGCAGTGTAGATCATAACCGATATCATATTTAACAAAAGGTGATATAATAGGAACATGATACAAACAGCGGATGCATAATAAATCAGTGATTGTGGTCGGACAGTTTTAAAACTTGAGCCAGTAACTTGATACAGAAGGATCGTCTAACAATAAATTAAAAGACGTAAACAGGTTTATATAGAATTAAAAACCAATTGTTCAGAGAACAATTGAAGGTCTTTCCACATCAATTTTTAAATTTATTGAAAAGAAGCTATAGATCGTGCTTACTCAAATTTAAAATTGGCATCTTATCATCAGTTTCTTTATACTGATGCGATAAATAAGTGGTTTCTATTTACTTCTGGGTGAAATAAGGGAGATGATTAGCTACTTCCGGTGAAGTAATTGTCACTTCCGGTCTCATATAATAGTTTCTTTCACGCTGATTCCAAAAATAAATAGTTTCTATATACTTTTGCTTGTAAACCAGGAGATAATTGGCCACTTCCGGTTTATCGAAAGTCATTTCTAGTCTTCAGTGATAAGTTAGTGTATTAAAATTACAAAATATATGGATTCCGAGTACTTTTCCATAAAGAAAGTGCAAAAATGGTTACTTCCGGTTTTCTCAAAGTCACTTCCGGTTGCAATTCTTCAAGGTCATATGTCATCCAGCCTTTTGTAAAAGGTCAGATGTCTTTATAATGAACCAAGTTGAAGTAATAATCAATTACCCTTATAATTGGACATTTCAGGGGCACTTACTTCTATAAGATGCCATTAGACTGTTTCAGACCAAATGTAACATATCTTCATTACAATAAAGCAAACAGTTTGCACTTGTTGTTTCATATATGTCTTTCAACTTGTTTGAGAAAATTCAAAAACAAGGAAAAGTCAAAATTGAGAACTTGATCTTGACCTTTGACCTTGACCTCATTTTCTAAGTAGTGACCTAGGGACCTCAAATAAAAAGATTCCAGGGTTATACGGTTAACAGTTTATGAGTTAAAAAACATACCGACAAATTTATTTGGTAAAGGTAGATAATTCCTTTAAAATTTCATCGAACTTAGTCAAAAATTCCAGAGGATGTAATGAACAATTTAAAAAAAGAATTTTGTCGATATCCTTTTTTTTACGAAGGAGATGCAAACACTTGATAAACAGTGAATAGGGACATAACTCTTATAAAGAAAATTGTTCGGCTTAGAATGTGTGAAAATAAAAAGCGCATAAACTGTATGATACTATATAAGGAATATCTTAGCGACATATTGCGAAACAAAAATCTTACGCGATAACAAAATTTGGCGGAAGAAAAAAATAATAATTAAATCTGAACAATTGAAGGTCTTTCCACAGCAATTTTTAAATTTATTAAAAAGAAGCTAGTTCGTGTTTACTCAAAGTTTTAAGCGATAACAAAATTTGGCGGAAGAAAAAAATAATAATCAGAACAAATACAATAGGTCTTCCCAATGTTACACTTATGTTTAGGAACAATTTTGTTTAGAATATGTACTACTTTCTTAGCATGGTCCTTCAGTTCTAGACCGGTTCTATACCTATAAGGCACCTATAAATGATTTCGGTGATGACAATTAATTAACTTATTAGATGATCCCTTTTGCCGTTTTAGATTTTCTCTTATTGATCCCTTTTGCCGTTTTAGATTTTCTCTTACTGATCCCTTTTACCGTTTTAGATTTTCTCTTACTGATCCCTTTTACCGTTTTAGATTTTCTCTTACTGATCCCTTTTGCCGTTTTAGATTTTCTCTTACTGATCCCTTTTGCCGTTTTAGATTTTCTCTTACTGATCCTTTTTGCCGTTTTAGATTTTCTCTTACTGATCACTTTTGCCGTTTTAGATTTTCTCTTACTGATCCTTTTTGCCGTTTTAGATTTTCTCTTACTGATCCCTTTTGCCGTTTTAGATTTTCTCTTACTGATCCCTTTTGCTGTTTTCTTAATCTTAATTAACTTATTGAACTTTTTAAAAATAATTACATAAAAACACAAAAACTGGGTACAAGTGACCTCCCTTTGTAGTTTTTGATTCATTTTTCTTTAGTTTTTCTTTTGTCATCGGTGATTGACTAAATTGTTCTTATCCTCTAACAGTTACAAAAAAAGAAATACAAATCCTTACCGGTCGTTAGCCAGGATGTCTGAGGGGGTTATTTCGGGTCATGGTGCTTTGTCTTTAAAGGTCAAATTTCAATCTGAATCTGGACTTTAATAGTCTTTATCAAATCTAGTTTTGTTTTAAAAGGGCCACTGTTTTGCCTTTAAACCCTGGTTGCAACTGATATGCGAGGGAAGTTATGTTTTTTAATATAGTAGTAAAACACAGTTTATGTTATTTTCATAGATAAGAGTAGCATTATATAATTTTTATGTATTACGTGTTGTTGATCTTTCACAAATGGAATGCATAATTTTCAATTTGTAAATCGTATATACTGTCTGAAACTTTAGTCGTTTGTTGTTAAAAAAAATATATATATCCTGTAAATAATATAAAAACACATAAAGATATACCATGAAATGTTTCGCCTAGAGGACAATGATTTGTGTAAATGTGTACATGTACATGATCATTCGAACAATCTCAACATTATCGTATGTATTAACCAAGTTTTAAATCTCATAAAATACAATGTTTACAGATTAAATATGAACAACATTCCAAATGTGACATTCCTCTTTCTGTTGGCCTACAATAACACATTTTATTTTATTTCACCCTTTTATTTAATTTTGTATCTCTCTGTTATCCTTTGTTCCTTTGATTTTAAAAGTGTTGTATTTTTACCCTTTTATATAATTATGTATCTCTCTTTTATCCTCTGTTCCTTTGATTTTTAAAGTGTTGTATTTTTCTTTAAGAACTTGAACACAAAATTTTTAAGAAACCTATATAGTGCACACTGATATTTTAATAAATAGTGAAAAAACACGTCTTTTGGATTATGAAAAGAAGACCGACATATAAATATTGCATAAATCAAAGTAGTTTCGTTAACCGATTAGAAAATTCACATCCTGTTTTAATATATTTTTCTCTCTGACAGTGTGGCAATTTAACCCTTTCCGGACCCATTAAACAAATTTAATCAACGTGTGGTTGCCGATGATCTCAGTAGATGATTGGGTGAGTTTACGGGTCATAAAAAATATAACCTTTATCAACTCACTGAATGAATCAAAATGTACTAACAAGTGTTAATAAAGTTGACAACCTTATGAAATGTGGAAGGCACTCAAAGCACAACATGAAAATTTTATCAAAAATGAAAATTTATTTGATAATCATTAGAAAAACAGATTCTTACATAGTTACTCGTGGATTATCTGATTTATCCAATCTCGATAGTTAAATTATCAATTTTAAAGTCCTCGCCGAGGCTCGGACTATACAATTCGATAATTTAACTATCTCGATTTGATAGATCCGATAATGCATTGGTACCAATGTAAGAATCTATATATATCTACAAAAACATGTGTTACCGAACCCCTTGTGCCCGACAAGTCTTTCTTGATTAACCATCACCATGTACGCTCGACACCAAGCTTTTGAATAGCCGATGCTATAAAATTATCAGGGCAAGACTAACAGATCCTACAATACACCATTTGATATCTATGTAGTTATAAACATGTGACAAATGTTACGGCCAGAAATCACCTTTAAATTGTAGCCAACAAAAGACACAAATCAATAATAAAATTTAACAAGATTTATTTTACACAAGTTTCACAGATGATATCGGATATGTTCCTTATGTCGTAACTACAATACCCTTCCCTTTTCACGAATGTGACCTACCGAATTAGACTATTTACCGGATTTGTAATAACATAAGCAACACGACGGGTGCAACATGTGGAGCAGGATCTGCTTACCCTTCCGGAGCACCTGAGGTCACCCCCAGTTTTTGGTGGGGTTCGTTTTGCTTAGTCTTTAGTTTTCTATGTTGTGTCATTTGTACTATTGTTTGTCTGTTTGTCTTTTTATTTTTGGCCATGGCGTTGTCAGTTTGTTTTCGATCTATGAGTTTGACTGTCCCTCTGGTATCTTTCTTCCCTCTTTTACAAGAAATATTACACAAATTGAAATGTCAACTTAACTGTTAAGATATATGTCATATCTTTTGTCTTTCCTTTTATCCGGAATTCTTCTCTTAACTGTACGGAATATGTCCAATCTAGTATGGTGTAGTTAACATAAATAAAAGTGTCAATCAAACAACTCCAAAGAACTGTCTAATCTCAAAGTTTCGGTTTCGGTATATATAGCTGTCACGGAAATCTCTAGAACACTGTAGAAGGGAAACTCCTAGAAAACTGTAGAACGGAAACATCTAGAATACGATAGAAGTTAAAATTACATATCGAAGATTATGATCATTCTGGAATCATTATGTAAGTCAAAAAGAAAGTTCTAATCATTCCGTCAGTATCTATGATTGTTCCAGTGATGTCTAAACTGCACAGTTATAACATTATTTTGTAAACAACTATTAGGCCAAGATAAATAAATATATAATAATCACAATATCATAACACAAATACTTAGTTTTCAGTTTATGCTTTTCCTCTATCTTAAATATCTTATAGGAAAATTAGAAATTTGGTTATTTTTACCTTTCTCTATTTTCTTTTATGTTGATAGAAGTTCATATTCAAAGTTGGTAAATGGACGATTTATTCCTTATTGTTGTAATAGCTTTGCCCTTTTTCATGTCCTTCTTTTCAACACCCCATTCTGGTAGCTACTACTGCATTGCCATACAAA